GGCAGGAGAGGCAGAGGCAGGAGAGGCAGAGGCAGGAGAGGCAGAGGAGAGGCAGAGGAGAGGCAGAGAGAGGCAGAGAGAGGCAGAGAGAGGCAGAGAGAGGGGCAGAGAGGGGCAGAGAGGGGCAGAGAGAGGCACAGAGAGAGGCACAGAGAGGCAGAGAGGCAGAGGCAGAAGCAGGCGGATTTCTGAGTTCAAGGCAGAGAGAGGCAGAGAGAGGCAGAGAGAGAGGCAGAGAGAGAGGCAGAGAGAGAGGCACAGAGAGCCACAGAGAGCCACAGAGAGGCAGAGAGGCAGAGGCAGAGGCAGAAGCAGGCGGATTTCTGAGTTCGAGGCCAGCCTGGTCTACAGAGTGAGTTCCAGGACAGCCAGAACTACACAGAGAAACCCTGTCTCGAAAAACCAAAAAAAAAAAAAAAAAAAAAAAAAAAAAGAAAAAGAAAAAAAAGAGAAATGTTTCGGTGAAGAAGCTTCAAATTAGTAGTCATACATTCCCTCATTCCTTCTCATTCTCAAGTGGACAGTTATTCACGTTCATTCCATGTTGACCCAGGGGACGGAGGGACACAAGGGTAAAACAGATAAGGGAAGGGCTTAGAGACCATGGCAGAAGGTGAGTGTTGTTCACATGAGGGCTAATGATTGCTAGTTATCTACTGGTTCAGCTGTTCCTGTTGCTAAACGATTGGTTGTCTGTAGTCTGGGTTGAGAAAGAGACACTGCAGGGTGAATTTAGGCTTCTTGGCAGCCTCTAAAGGACTGAACACCTAGGAACTTTTCATAAGCTCTTTACTGTTACACAAAAGGCACTTTTAGCAAGTCAGTTTCCGCATAGCAAAACCTCCTATCTGATCTAGAAGCTGTGTGAAGGATGATTACCTAAGCAATTCTCAGCCAGGAGACTTCCTGGTTTGCCAGGTATGTCTTGGGACTAAGTTATGCAAAGGCTCTGTGAATCCTTCAGAAGAGCAGCTCGATAAATCTCATCTAACAATCATAATCAAGGCCATCCAGACTGTGACAAGACCCTGTTTCTTAAAAAAAGAAAAAAAAAGAAATTAAAAAAAAAGAAAAGAAAAAAACAGGCCACTGGTGGCATAAGCCTTTAAACTCAGCACTCGGGAAGTAGAGGCAGGTGGATCTCTGTGAGTTCCAGGCCAGTGGGGCCTACTGAATGAGTTCCAGGACCACCAGGACTGTTACATAGAAACCCTGACTCAAAAAAACCAAACAAAGAAACAAAAAGTAGTTTAAGTAAAACTAAGTTTCGAGTGCCCTTGGAAGATGTTCTGTTGAAGAACATGATCTTACTAGTTATGAAATTCTGGGTACTTTATATTTTATGGTTAATTTGAATTCTTTAAAGTAAGCCCACATATGAAATAATTCTTACAAAAAAGGAACTATATAACTTCCCGTTTCCCCTCCCATCTCTCACAATTCTTGCTCACGTTCCACACTACATTCTTTCAGAAACCAAACTCTGATCCTGTTATTCTTTATGCCTAAAAATTTTCCAAGAATTTAAAAATAGTTTGTTCAAAGCTGTTTGCGTGATCGAGTAGGCCTAAATGTCCCTATTGATTTTCCAAGACACCCTCCCTCCTTCCCTCCTGTGCTCAGGCTGCTGGAGGACCCTGGGATGCCAGTTCCTTGTAGCTTTCCACATTGTTTCTCTTGCTTAAAAAATTGTCCAGACTCTATGCCCATGGCTAGCTCTAGTTGGTCCTGCAGTTAAAATTTTCCCTCATTGAGGGTTCCCCTGACACTGTGTGTTGTTTCTTCACAGCAGATCCTGAGTGTAACAGTGTGGCCATGTGATCATCTTACCATTAGTCCCCCTTGCTAGTCGGCATGCTTATTGAGATCAGTGGCCATATTCTTTTTTTTTATGTGTCAATAAACTATTAACACATTTCACTGTGTGGTCATAAAAATCAGTTATATGCCAAAATAGCCACAAGGTGGCACTAAGGTTTTAGTCAACTGCTACAGAATTATGGTCCTCAAATTTTTTAATTTAGGTTTAAGAATTTTTCAAAGCCTTGGTGTATCTATGTATATTCAATATTTCTTTAAAGCTGAGAGGATGTCTTTGTAGTTTTGTGGTATATAGCAGACTTTCTGATTTGTTTACCTTGCCTGGTAAGTTTTAAAAAGAATACTCATTAGGGGTTCTTATGCTATATTTAATCTTGAGCAATAATGAGTTGTTTTGCATACCTTTTGGTTCCCAATTAGAAAATAAAAAACTTTTTTTTTTTTTTTTTTTTTTTAAGATTTAAGATTTATTTATTTTATTTATGAGTACACTGTAGCTGTCTTCAGACACACCAGAAGAGGGCATCCAATCTCATTACGGATGGTTGTGAGCCACCATGTGGTTGCTGGGATTTGAACTCAGGACCTCTGGAAGAGCAGTCAGTGCTCTTAACCGCTGAGCCATCTCTCCAGCCCAATAAAAAACTTTTTTGATATTCCCTCTTCTGTCCCAGTAAAGCAAGTGTTTGTAATAGAAATTGTTTGAATGAGTGAATTAGTTCCTTTTTCTGACCTTCTGAATATTTTCTCTCTGAAGTCATATTTGAATTAGTCTCTATCAGAAATGTCAGTACTATGGTACAAGCATATAATAACAGTAGTTTTCTTTTCTCTTGAAGCTACACATGGCAGTATTAACAGTAAGTACAAACTTAAAGGCCAAGTCTCTTTAAACAGTAGTCATTCCCTTTCTCCCTTCTTGAGATTTATGACATTTTATTATTTAAAAACTGGATATATCAGAACTTTATAAGATATTATAAATGTTCAGTATATTTCTTTGACATATATATTATTATATGAGAGAACATAGAGATATATATTAACTCTTAGGATTTAAATATATTTTTTGATATGTAACAGATTCAAAGTTTTTTTTTTAATTTATTTTCTCTCAAATCGTAATTCATTCACACAGGGGTTATAAACACAGAAAGGCAGGATGTGGGGAAGGGAATGACACTGGAGTGTGGGTGATCAGGGGGAATACAGATATCATCAGAACCAGGTATCGGCTGGGTGAAGGTTCAGGGGACAAGTCACTATGACTCTGCCTATGACTCGCTTGTCCTTATCTAAGTTGGTATTGTCTGCCAAGGCTACCTATTTACAAGGTCTATGACTACTCAGGCTTGTAAATTTCCACAAAAGCTGCCTATTTACAATAGCTTATAGCCATCTGTTTCAATGTTTTTCCACTGAGACCCAAGACTTGGTGTTAGTATACATGTATGACAGGTCTATTGCTGATTTTAGGCCTATGGCTGATTTTAGGCCTTCAGTGGGTAAGCAGGGCTGCCCCTGACATCTCCTCCCTTCTCTAAGTATAGAAGGGCTGTGGCAATTCTAACCTTGCGAAGGCTGGGATAGAGGCCTGACCTCCAGTATTTGAAGGGGACCTTGTAATGGCTCTGGTTCCCCTGTCGTTGTCCAGTGAGGCATGAGGGCCATACCCATCCCGATGTCTTTTTCCTGGAGAGGGGATACTTTTGACATCAATCCCTATGCAGTCAGGCTTGTCCCTCAGGGAACCCAGATAGATATTTTTATCTTTTATTGATATTCCCTTGCAGTGCTTAGCCTCGAAGCCTAAGCAAGAATTTAGATCGCCTGACAGAGGGGGTTCTGGGTGGCCCCTCTCTGCTTGGTCTAGGGGCAGAAGTCCCCCCTTTTAGGTTGAGTGGAGATGGGTTTTGGAAACACCCTGTATAAAGTAACAACCTCATCTTGAGTCTCGTGGTCCTCCATAGCTAACTTATGATAATGTATCTGAGTAGGTTTTGCTACCAAATTATTTATCTGTTGTATCACAGAGTTAGTCCGCCTATTTGAGAGCCAGGGATCAGCAGAAAAAAGCAAAAAGAACCCAAATAATGGTCCCAAGATGGGAGGAAATAGGGTTGACAACCTTGGAGAGGCTAAAAACCAATTCTTGTACCAGCCTTCATCTGTCTCTTTCTCTGAGTTTTTCTTAGGGCCTTCACTACCTGTTTCATGCTTTCTTTAACCCTCCTTTTCTTGTCTATGTAAAGGCAAACCTTCTTCTTTAAGAACTGTACACAATCAAGAGCTGTACACAGCCTTTTCTATTGTAATAGAGTAAATCAAGTCCAATAAGGATCTTTGCGATTTTAGGAGGTTTCTTCAGACAGCGAAATGAGGGATTTCTTCAGATTAGTGATGTCAATCTCTGATGTTCTTGTCAGTGGCCCTTCAAAGGTCTGAGTAGTGTAAGTTCGGAGGCCAGCATCTGGATTAGAACTTCTAACAGCAGACATCACGGGTGATTCATTTTTACCTGGAAAGGAAAATGAAGGGAATTCTCAGGGAGATTTCTCTTCCCTGGATGTAAATTGTTATTCATCGTATTTATGGTTGGGCCTGGCTTTGTGGGGGTATCTTTTTTTTTTTTATTAATCTTTTTGGTAGCCAGTTAGCTGTGCCTTCTGTGGTATCAGACAGGCATATCAATCCTCGGCCCCATAAGGGAACTGGGTCTGGGCCATTCCCTTTAAGGGTAAGAGGGTCCTTCCCCATATCTGTGGCAAAGTTTTGTTGGTCTCGGTGGTGCCAGAGGCAGTTAGCAGCAGATTTGCCATGAGCTTTCAGCTTTAGAGAGATAAAAGTGAGCAAGGCATGACGGAGAGTATTTCAGGGGACTCCTTCTGTGGGGGTACCGTTCCCCCTCTTTTGTTTTTAAAGCCAGTTTTTCAAAGTTCTTGTAAAATCAGGGCAGAAGCGCCAACAGTCGCTCCTTCCACTCTCAGAGAGTCATGAAGACCCTATTTAAGGATATATAAATCTATATTAATAATCTTTTGTCAAAGGACTGTTATAGCACCGCCGACAACTAATCAGACTATATAATATATTGCTTAGTAATAGCTTCTTCTACTTTTTGTGAGATTACCTCTCTTTTGTCAATTAATTGTTGAGGAAAATTAGGATTTACATTTCTCTTGAGAATATTGAACAGAGACTTAAATTCTTTTGTGGAGAGCTTAAAATAGGGTCTTAGCCAATTAGCAACTCCTAGAAACTTTTGAAAATAATTTAAAATAAGTAAACTCTCTCCCTCTCTCTTTTTTTTTTTTAGACCCTTTACCTGGGATGCTGCCTGAGTTAAAGCTCCTGGGAGTCCCTCTTTCTCTCGGTTTTCTGGGGTTGGGTGCTGTGCTGCTGCCTGTGACCTGCTCTATGCTCGGGCCCAGACCCCAAAGTTTTTTTGTTTTGAAAGTTTTCTGGACTTTTTTTGGAAGTTTTATATATCCATGGGTATGAAATGGTGGTAGAAATTGAGATACCATTAATAAAATATATTAATTATTTAAGTATTTATGTCATAACAACTTAAGAATTTATTTGTAGTTCAGTCATATTAATTATAGATACCTTATATCAGTTATAAACTTCCTTATATTCAGTGTTCATAGAAAGTTCTAAAGATTCTGAGTTTTTAGTAAAATAAGAGCTCATCCTATCTCTAGCTTGAAATATGCCCAGCTGGTACTCAGTGAATAAAGCACAAAGTGGACTCTTTACAAAGACAGTGTATTCAATGAGCAGCAATCTAGTAAATTTTGGAAATTAAGTGCTCTGTATTTTCCCTTAAACAGCTTTACACAAATCCCAAGGAACCTGAGGTAAGATGGTAGTGTATAAATGGTAGTGTGTGTGTACTATATTTAAGTATGTTTATCTGAATTGAGGCTATAGATTATGTCACTAGACTACTGCATAAACAGAGCAGCTCATCGTGAACTTTATGTTTTATTGTAAACGAAACACTCCTATACAATGTTTAAAAAAACAAAAAACACTGCTTAGAACTGAGGCTCTTCTATAACATGTCAATATTAAGATTCTCCTAATTGTAAGTGTATAAAAGTAATTTTGTTTATAATATTTATTTATACTTATTAATATATAATATAGAAATAATAAACATTTAAGTATAATAATAAAATATATATTTTAATTATTTGTTTTATGATCTTTTGGGGAAAAAAAGCTACAGCATTACTCTGAGCTCTTTACCACCTGAATGCTCTCTGTTGTTGCTTTCATAAACTTTGAGAGCGTTAGATCTTTACTCTCATCTTTTGATTCCTGGACTTGCTTAGTGACTCCTGCACCTTGCTGCTTTTCAGATCTTTTGTGAAATCCTCTTTGGTTCACTGTCTGTACTATCTTCTACTTTTTAAAAGTTCTTTCCCAGCAGAGTCCTAGTTTAACCCTCTGGGTTGATTCATTTATTTCCTAAAAAGATTAGGATTAGGAGTTCCTGGGAGCAGGGTGTTGTTTTCTACCTTGCAGAGTGGCTGATATTGCCTAAATAGGACATAGTTATCTGTGCCACTTCAATAGCTTTTCTACTTGTGACAGGGACACGGAGTGAGATGTCCTTTGCTTTCTCATCCTGTTGTCTCACCTATAGCTTTCTTCTCTTTTTTTTTTTCCCTTGCTTTGAATTTTTCTTCTCTAAGCCAGTGGATTTAGTCTAACTGGTGACATTCGAGACTAAATTGTTTTTAAGTCCTTAGTATTTTCTCTGTGCAAGATTACAAATAACCATGCAGGTGAGGAGAATAACCACTGTGCACAAGTGTATAGCAATTCCTTAATGCCCAAACTGTTCTTAGGCCCTGTTTTCTGAGTCTCTCTCCCCTAAAGTTCTGTTTTTAGAACCTACTATGTAGTTGAGAATCACCTTGAACTTCAGATCCTGCTGTCTTCACCAAATGCCCCAGCTGTGTGTATGCAGTGTTGAGATTACAAGGCAGCATCATGCCTGGTTTACGGAGTCCTAGGGATGGAACCCAGTTTTTGTGCATGCTAGATAAGTGCTCTACCACCAACCATCCCAATCTTTTTCTCCTATTTAGTTTCAAATTTTCTTAAAATTAGGATTGATTTGTTCTTCTCGTACTTATTATGTTTCCCTATGCGTGCATATCTTCTAGTTTGAAGTCTGGTTAGTTTTGGTGCATGATGTTTTGTTTGCAGATTTTTAAAATAATAAACTTTATTTTTAAAAAGAAATCAGTAGTTTTAGAGGTAAAACTTGAGTTTATCTCAGGAAAAATCTGACAGAATTAGAATAAAACTGCTAAATTAGTTTTGATGCTAGCATATAGAATAATGAGATTTTGAAAAGAGAGCTTTTTGTTTGATAAGTTTTGAGTTATCTATGACCCTATAAAAATATTTTGAACACTTACCATTTATTTTCTATGGTAGCAATCCCTAAGTGATACGTTTTCATGGCACACATCCGATTACTAAATAATGGTAGACTATTGAGTTTTTAAAAAAACTCAAAACAATACAGGTTGTTGTTGTCAGCAATTGTATTAGTACTTTCCTGCCTCTGTGATAAAACACCATTGCCAAGAGAAACTTAGAGAAGAGTTTATTTTGACTTACAGTTCCAGAGAGGAGTTAAACATGGCAAGGAGGCAGAGCAGGCAGCAGGCAGGCAGCAGGGGCAGGAGGCCGAGTGCTCACATCTTTAATCACAAACAGAAAGCAGAGAGAGCAAACTGGAAGTGGAAATGAACTTATAAACTGCCAAAGCCCCAGTGACACACTTCCTCCAGCCAGGTTCCTCCTGAAGGTTACACAACATCCCCAAACAGTGCTACCAACTGGGGATCAAGTGTTCAAACAACTGAGGTTACGAGGGGCATTTTTCATTCAGATCACTGTAGCAATGATGATTACAGTTTCACTGCTGCAGTAGCTCTACAGTGTTCATAGTATCTAAAGCATGCACAGGGTTCATAATATCTAAAGCATTCACAAGTTTTAAAGTATCTAAAGCATGCACAAGGTCCCACTGCTTTATAGCTTGGCTGATGTCTAACATCAAATCACTGAGAAAACTGTAGCTCTCTGACCTCATTCTCTTAAATAATCATGAGACATCATTTTCAGATCAACCTAATATCTGGCATTTATTGATCCTCTGCCAAAGGCTTGAGTCATCACTGAAAGGATAGCCTTCCCTAAACAAATGGCACAAAAAATAACAGTATTAATATTTACTAGGAATAAAAATAGACTTTACACATGGGACTAAAATTTGCAGCACTCCTGTGAAGAATATATCAAGTACAACAGTTGAACCATTGCTTAAATCTGTTCAGAAGTTAACAGAATTAGGCACCATGCACACAATTGTGTACATTTGCATTTATACTTTTGTTGTGATTGCTGTCGTGAAAGAGAACCTGAAAACGAAAGTAATAAAGACTGACAACGAACTTGCCTACAATCACACACTGAAATATGGGAGGCATACAAAGCAAATAAATCTTAATTTGTGATAAACCATTAAGAATTGCATTTATGAGTTGGGGCAGTAGAGGCACATGCCTTTAGTCTTAGCACTCAGGAGGCACAAGCAGGTGGATCTCTGTGAGTCTGAGGCTAGTTTGATCTATAGAGCAAGTTCCAGGACAGCAAGGGCTACATAGAGAAACCATGCCTTTCAAAACAAAACAAAACAAAACAAAAGCATTATGTATACGAGTTTTATGAGCAGTGTTGCTGTGTGTTTCATTGTCTAGTCCTTTGTGCCTGTTGGAGGTAATCAAGGCACAATTTTAATTGCCTATTTCAGTTACTGAACTGAAATTACCACCTATTGGTGGTCTTAAAATATGTGTTTAGAGACTATTTATTTATTTGTTTGTTTTTTGTTCATTTGTTTGTTGGTTGGTTTGTTTTGGGGTTTTGAGACAAGGTTTCTCCGTGTAGCCCTGGTTGTTCTGGAACTTGCTCTGTAGACCAGGCTGGCCTCAAACTCACAGATATCTGCCTGCCTCTGCCTCCTGAGTATTGGGTTTAAGCCTGACCTAGAGACTTTTAAAAAAAATCTCTATTAGAGACCAGGTATGGTGGCACATACCTATAATTGCAGCACTCAGGAGGCTGAGGCAGGAGGATCATGAGTTTCAGGTTAGCTGCACAACATCGAAAAACTCTTATGTCGAGAGTGAATCCTTGTAAGATGAAATTCTACTTGAAGATGAACTCTGGTTCTTTGTACTTAGCACTGTTTCCAGATATAAATGGGACAGACCAAGACTCTGACCTCTAGAAGCATATATTTGTTTTGTTTTTGTTTTTTGCTTTGTTTTGTTTTGTTTTTCGAGACAGGGTTTCTCTGTGTAGTCCTGGCTGTCCTGGAACTCACTCTGTAGACCAGGCTGGCCTTGAACTCAGAAATCTGCCTGCCTCTGCCTCCCAAGTGCTGGGATTAAAGGCATGTGCCACCACTGCCCGGCTAAAGATTTTTTTAAGGTTTATTTTTATTTTATGTATGTAAATACACTGTAGCTGTATTCAGACACACTATAAGAGGGCATCAGATCTCATTACGGATGGTTGTGAGCCACCATGTGTTGCTGGGAATTGAACTCAGGACCTCTGGAAGAGCAGTCAGTGCTCTTTACCACTGAGCCATCTCTCCAGCCCAGAAGCATATATTTGTATGAAGAAGGATAAAAATAGAACTTAGTAAAAGTCATTTAAGGTTGTAATGCCATGAAGAAAGTTTGAAAAGGTGTTGGACTGGTCAGTGATGAGGTAAAGATCACAGAAGGAGGGCTCAGATGCCTGTTTTAGATTGACAAAGCCATAGGAAACATCCCCAGGGGCTGGACTACTGTTGGAACTGAGATGGAATAATCAGATCTGCGCAAGGCACCACTATATGACAGGCAGAACAGCACTGAGGGCAACACTAGGTTCTGGAGTCAGACCACAGCTCTACCATGTACTCACTTCTTCAATACTGACAACAATGATACCAACCTCAGAGTTTTGGTGGCATGATCCAGAATATGGACACACTGAGACCCTAAGACAGGAAGTATTTATAGGCAAAAAGATACCCCAGATCTGTCTTGTAAGTGAACAAAAGGGAAATGGCAGGAGAGCTAAGTGGAGGACAGATGGTGAGGTATCATAGGCTTCATTACAAGGACAGTGAGAGGCCAGGGACAATGAGAGGACAGCGAGAGAGAAGTGACAACGGTTTGATTTGTACTTGATTCTTTTAGTTATAGTCCGAGAAAATGAACCCAGGCCTTGCCTAGATCGATATCTCTCTCTGTCTCTCTCTGTCTCTCTCTGTCTCTCTCTGTCTCTCTCTCTCTCTCTCTCTCTCTCTCCCTTTCTTTAACATTTTTGAGATGGATAGCTCAGATTTCCCTGCTTCAGCTTCAGTAGCTGGGAGTGCAAGCATATGTAATCTGTACCTGGCCTGGTTTGTATTTTTAAAAACTCTTGGCTAGAGAACAGAGAATAAAGATCACATGGATATGTGATTCACTTTGGAAACAGACCTGAGAAATCTTTCCAGTGGCTTGGAATAGGGAGTAAGGAACAGTTTGAACATGGTGATGTTATCAAGAATTAACACTTTAAAATAATTATTCTTTATATTTGTATTCATTTGTGTGTACTAGATTGTGTGTGCAGTGTTCTTAGAATCCAGAAGTGGGTGTCAGACCCCTTAGAACTAGTTCTAGGAAGTTTTAAGCCTCCCAGCTCCTCTGTAGGAGTAAAAAGTGCTCTTAACCTAAGCCATTTTTCCAGCCCTGGGATTAACATCTTTTTAAAACAGTTATCTATCCCAATGGTAAAATAACTGGTTTAGGAATCAAATAATAGAAAAATGACCAACTGCTTAAAGGTCTCTTTTATTCACAAAATACATTTCCCATAGCATTAATAGGCTAGAGTTGACCAGAAACAAGGACAGGCAAGAAGAATAGGCATTGTTTGCATAACAGGACAATCCTACTTAGCACTGGCTAAGAGAGGACACTGTGTCTAGCCAGTCTGGAGTGAACCTGTTGCTCTTAGGCACCTGCAACCACCTCTGATCTGACCCATCTCTTCTATTGTTTCACAAAACAGCCTCCTGCAAATAGGCTGAGTGATTACAAAAGCAGTTCCCTTTTAACTCATTACAGTCAGTCTCCTTAGGTTCAGGCAGTATGAGCTAATTTCCAGGACTTGATCATCTGTGGTTAAGTTGTATACTAAATAAAGATCAGCAGAGCTTGAGCTCAAATCTTAGAGATAAGTAACAGGAACATGAAAATTGCTTTTGATCAGTTTAACATTCCCATTTCCACATTGTCAGAAGAATGAGGGTCATAGAACTCATGCTCTATCTGCCTTTAGCACCTTCAGCTCTGTCTACAAACTGTATAATTTATCTGGGTAAAACAGTTATTTTTAAGCTAAAGCATTTAAAATTATTTATGTATGTGTGTGTGTGTCTGTGTGTGTGTGTGTGTGCAGGTGTGAGTCACAAGTGTATAGAGGTCAGAGAACAACTTGAGGAGTCTGTTGTTCTTCTCTCTGGGTTCCTGGGATAAAACTTGGGTAGTCAGGCATGCAGTGTAAGTACTTTTACCCTCTGAGCCATGTTGACAGACTGAAAGAACTATTTGAGTTGATTTTTAATGAAGAAATTTGTTCTCTGTGTTCCATCACATCCTTACCAGTGATGAGAGCAGATGGTAGCAATAGCTTCTAGTGAAGGAAACAAAACTCAGTGCCCTACTTCCTCAGTTCCTTTTCCAATTTTTAAAATTCCTGTAGTGATTCACTTACTTCTTCCCTAAATCACCATGGCGACTTTTTAGGTGTCCTTATGGCTTCCTAGCTTCCCTGCCTATATTCATTATTCACTCTTCCTTCTTTCCTTCGTTCCTTTTGAGAGAGAGAGAGAGAGAGGGAGAGAGAGAGAGAGAATATGAATTTCTCTGCTTAGCCCTGGCTGTCCTAGAACACACTGTGTGGAGCAGGCGGGCCCGAAGCATACAGAGATCTGCCTTCCTTTGCTTCCCAAGTGCTGAGATTAAAGGCTTGAATCACCAAACTTTCTCATTCCTTTTCTGTCTTAATCACTGTTCTTTTGCTGTGAAGAGACAACATGACCAAGACAACTGTTACAAGAGAAAACATTTAACTGGGGCTTGCTTACAGTTTTAGAGGTTTAGTCTGTTGTCATCATGGTGAAGAACATGCCAGCACACAGCAGACACTAAAGCCATAGTTAATAGCTACATCCTGATCTGTAGGCCAAGATTGGATGGGGGAAGATAGACAGATGGACAGACACTGGGCCTGGTGTTACCAGTGAGACACTTCCTCCAACAAATATCTTCTGATCCTTCTAATCCTTTCAAATAGTTCCACCCTTCCTGGTGACTAAGCATTCAGATATATGAGCCTATCAGGGCCATTCTTATTCAAACCAACACAATGTATTCTTAAGGTATACGGAGAGAGCTTTAAAAACTGCAAACCAATGATCTGTTTAAAACTTTCAGTAGACTTTGATGAACTTAGAATAAAATCCAAGATCTTTACTATTGTCAACAAAGTCTCAACCGCATCTCTCATTTCTAGGTAATTGTCTTCTTTTTTGGATTCTAAGAAATACATCCCTTCTCAATTCAGAGATTTTGCATTACTGTTCTGACTATCTGAGGCATTGTCCCACAGGTTTGCATATGATTAACTCTTCTTGAGGCTCATCGCAAAATACCACATCTTCAGACAAATCTTCCCTGATCTTTCTAAATCTGATCAGCCGTTCTTTCTCTCCACTATGCACTTTCTACCACAGCATCTGCTTTATGTTGTCCATGGCACCAGTTCTGTCTGAAATTACCTCATTTTCTTTGTTTACTAGCTAGCTCTGTAGATTCTGTGAAAAAAAGTCTTCTTTGCCTTGTTCACAATGACTCAAGTTTCTAGCTCAAAGTAGATAATTTGATAAAAACATTCATTGCATGAATGAATGATTCATCAACTGGTAATACCTAATGTAATGATAATACCTAACTTATTTTTAGCTGAGAGGAGCAAGATTAAGTTATCATCGTATCTAGAACCACTGCTCCTTGATAAAGTAATGCTGTGAGACAAACATACAGAGGAAACATAGGAGATATCAATAAAATGTTCATTTCATGAGATAAAAATCTGGTTTTGTTTCAAAATTAACTTCTTTCTCTACTCTCTTTGGTTTTTCTAGAAAGTGACTGAAATTTACCAATTCAAATTCAAATACACAAAAAAGGGAACCACTATGGACTTTGACAGGTAGACTCTAACTGTTTAATGAACATGGGAATTGTGTAGGAGTGCAGTAAATAGAAGCTTCTAGATGGCCAGTGGAAATCTTACGTCTTTGTAATTTTGTTGTAGCCCTATGAAACCTCACTATCACAAATAGATATTATAATAATTGTTTTAAAGTCTGAAGTTCATAAGTTTGACTGATGAAAGTAAAGGCAATGATGAATGTCATGGCCCTTAAAATTATATTAATAAAGTGGCTGGAGAGATGGCTCTGTGGTTAAGAAACCACTCTTCCAGAGGACCTGCGTTAAATTCCAAATGCCTATATCAGGTGGCTTACAAGTGTCAATGACTCCAGCTCTAGGTCAGTCATACCTCTGAGGATTCATGAACTCATATGCACATATCCACATGTAGACACACACCTACAAATAACTAAAAATAATAATAAATCTCGAAGTAACAAAAGATTTAATTTAAAAATATATAAATGAGGCTGCCAACGTGATGTCAGCTAAAGAACCCATATGACTGTCTCTAGCTATTAATCCGGTAGCTCTGTTGGTATGCAAAATATGTTAATTCTTTTCATTTCAGTAGAGGAATACTGAGCCTGAGGGAAATGAAACTCCTGGATTATTAGCCTATATGCACAAATGCTGTTAGTTGCTTATCCATGCACATACACATACCATTTTCTATGTGTGTCATTGTATGGGAAAACCCATATACACTGTATTTTCCTATCAAGTCTTTTGTTGTTTCAGATTTTTGAGACAGGGTTTCTCTGTGCAGCTCTGGCTGTTCTGAAACTCACTCTATAGAACAGGCTGGCTTCAAAAGCAGAATCTGCCTGCCTGTCTTCAAATGCTGGACCTAAAGGTGTGCTCCACCACCGCCTGGCCCTATCAAGTCTTAAATCCATGCTTTTAGATATAGTAAAAGATACTGGACCAAAGAGCAAAACCAAGGAAGACCCTGGTGTATATGGAGATGTTGGTTAAGGAGCAGCATTCTTCTCTCAGAAGCTTTTGGTTTCATATCAGCTACCTGGTGTAGCAAACCAAGGACTGCGGGTGAGATGGGATAGAAGTAGGTGACACAGATTCTATAAAAAGACCTAATGAAAGTCTTCAAAGGGGAGATATACCCTGAAAGGAACAAAACTGAAGAGAAATTTGGCTATATGCTGCCTTTTCTCTAGTTCCCCTGGGGAACTTGAGGATTTCTTTCCAATTCTCACTTTCTTAATTATCCTCTCATTTGTGAGACTTGCAGAAAGTACTCAGATATAAGAAAATTCAGTTCCAGAAAGGATATTTAAAACATTAGCCACAATTAATTAGTATTTATATACTGTTTTACAGGTTGTACAGCACTTTGTCTTTGAGGCAGCATCTCATGTGGCTCAGGCTGACTTTGAAATTAATGTATAGGCAAGATTGTGCCCTACCAAGCCCAGCTGTATATGACATACTTCATGCTTCCCCCCCACACATAAACAGTTGTCCTTACTCTCCAAAACTCCAATATACATATTCTGGACAACCAGGTTAATATTTTTGTTTGTTGTAGAAAGACATATGCTGAAAGGTAAACAGCAAAGCAAATGGATAATTTTTTCAGATACTCAGGAAGTGAGGTAATATGTTGTATAAATTTCTAGAAATATTGCTAAAATGAGGGTCCTTAATATGATCTTCTGATGTTTCCTAAGGCTTCATGAGCTACATATCTATACCCCTTCATTCTGGCTGATTAAAAGTCCTCGTACAGAACCTTTAAGTTGTTAGAAATTGATAGAGAAGCTAAAATATCCAGTTAATATATGTTTGTTTACTTTGTGATCTCTCACTGCCTCCAAAAATCAGGGAGAGACCTAACAGTTTAAGTACTTGGGATTATTTTCCAGTGCTAAGTCTCAGTATGTTCAAGGTACTGCTAATATATTGCCATTGTAGTGTGTCCGTAAAGATACTGAATGTGAGACTAATTGGGAAGAAAATTTTGTAGAGAAATAAAAAAAATTTGAATTAGAAGATAATTAGCATAACTCTTTCATTCATGTATTAATTCAGCAAATATTTATTGGGTAGGTGGATACCAAACCTAGTAGTGTGGAGATGAGAGATTTAGCCATTCATAGTCCATATGGGAACAGATAATTCTTCTGAGGGGAGGTGCAGAGTATAGGGGAGACTTGAGATGCCACATGAGCTAGGTAGGTGCTATGGGAGCACCAGGAGGAAAAACAGAAAGTACAGCTGCAGATGCATGTGGTTAAACAAACTGGGTGACAGCTGCGGGGGTGGGTGGGAGTGAAAAATAGTTGTACATATACCATTTTTCATGTTTGGTTCAAAGATGACACATGTAATAGAAAACTTTAGCAAGAAGGTGACATAAGTGGACCTTCCTATTAGGAGTAGTAATTTGGCTGCAGTGTGGAGAATGTCTTGAAGTGTAGACAAAGAAGAAAGCCAGAAGAATAGATGCTTTAGTAACCTATGTCACATCGAGGAGAGCATTTCTTTGAGAGACAATTCAGATGGTAGATAAGCATAGAGCTAGTGGCTGATTTCATGCTTGGAGAGCTGCAGAAACGTCCATAAGCTTATCTCACAAATGGGCTACCTGACCTAGAATGCATGCAAATGACTTGACCGAGGTCATTCAGCTGGCTAAGAGTATGGCTGATATTGGATGCCAGGTCACCTAGTTACAAATCCATTGTTCTCATTATTAGGATATGTGATTATTTGAAAGCCAACATTTTAAAATGATACTTAAGATGCTTTAGACGTGTCTGTTATTCAGAGATACTGTGCGTATACATTGCAGAAAGTACTATCATTTCCTTAAGTTACCTCTTAAAAACCATCTACAAAATGTCCTAATGTTTACGTTATTAGATAACATAGCCAAAAGCTATATTGTTTTGTAGCATATTGTGAATGTTATTTATGATTGAAATCTGCTGTTTTTCTGTGACCATAGCAGTAGTACAAGCTTTGAAAGTGGGACAAACAGTGAAGATATTAAGAAAGCCTGTTCCCTACTAATCCGTCAATTGTATATACTGATGCAGAACCTTGGACCCCTTCCTAATGATGTTATACTTACTATGAAACTCCATTATTATAACTCAGGTAGGTAGAGACCTTTGGTCAAATTCCTTGTTCAGTGCTCAAGTGATGTTGTGTATAAATAGGATTTATAGGCATCTGAAAAGTGTCGTTTACTGTATATGAAGTCACTTACTCCATTGAAACATAATTTGCAATATTCTTGTCCTTTCTGCAGTGACCCCACATGATTACCAACCCCCTGGCTTTAAAGAAGGGGTGAAGTCACACTTCCTAGTGTTTGAAGGGGAGCCTGTGAGCCTTCGAATGGGCTCAGTCTCCTCTGGCTTCCACAGTATGAAAGTCAAAGTCACAACCGAGGCCACCAGAATGCTTGATGGGGAGAACAGTGTCGGTCAGGACGATGGCACGACTGAGATAGCCCATCAGGGTCTAGACTATGATGAGGAAGAAGAGGCCTGCGGCAGTCAAGTAAGGCCAATTTTTAGTGACCCTTCATTGCTTCACTTAAACACAGGTGACATTTCTAGTTTGTATTTAGGTCATGTCACAGTAACAGAGTCCAGTGGAGCATGCCAGCTATGAAAACTGAAACAAACTAGCCTGTGACGTCAAGGACTTTTAAGTCAAAAAGTCCTTCTAGAGGGAAATATGTGCTGTTATATGAGATTGTCTAGCAATAAGAAAAAATCCCAGCATGTTTTATAGTACTTAAAATATTCTGAGTGTCTGATATGTTCATACGCAATAGAATTATACATTAGCTCTTGATTATTATAGTAACTGGCCATGAGGGTTAGGGAGGAAAAATTTTATGGATTAACCTGAATCAGAGAGAGAGAAAGAGAAAAGAATGATACCAATGTCAATGACAAGCATGGTGGTTTAATTGCTGGGGAGAGCTGAGGGGTTGAGAGTTTGCAGCCAGTGCCAGTCAGTGATAGGTGGAGGTTTGCTTGTTTCTGTAAAGACTGAAAGCTGCAGACTTGCTAAGGCTCTGATTTGTAGTAGCTAGGTCCATACCGTGACTTAGCAGTTGTCTGAATAATAATGTTTGCTGTGTGCTAACATTGTAGATGAAAGATTCTGAAACAAAATCATTTTTAGGCTGTTTGGTAAAAAGGGATACTATAAAAATAATTTTTTTTGTCTTAGAATCCTACTTTTAAAAGATGACTATAGAGGCTATACAGTTGGCCTAGCAGTTAAGAGCACTGACAGCTTTTCCAGTGGACCCAGGTTCTATTCCAGGCACCTACATGGCAGCTCACAACCACTTGTAACTTTAGCTCCAGGGGATCTGACACCTTCTTCTGACCTCCATGGGCACCAGGCACACACATGCAGCAAAACATCCACACATATACAATAACAACATCAACAGCAACAACATCAAAAATTTGATGGCTAACTTAGTTAGGTAGCTTCTAAAAGTACCTTCTAACTCCTTAACTCAGTATTGTGTTTAGTATATTGAAAGGGAGATCCTAGTTTCAATTCAGTTAATATGACAAATGTAACCAAACAACAGGTTTTTTGTCTTTTTTAAAAAACTTTTTCACAGTGTCCAGCATGAAAATAACTAGATTCTGGTGCATAATTTTTCTTTTGATTCCATGTAAAAGCAGATATAGATGACATGAAAAAGCTAATCATAATAACAACAAAAATAGTGGTTAAGAAAATAATGTGACTATTTTTTTATTATGAAGAAAAAACTTAACAACTGAATGTGATAGAGCATGCCACTAGTTCCAGTACTTAGGAGGCAGAGACAGGGGATCTCTGTGAGTTCAAAGCCAGCCTGGTCTACATAGAGAAACCGTATCTAAGAAAGAAGGAGAGAGAGAGAGAGAGAGAGAGAGAGAGAGAGAGAAACAAAAGAAAGAACAAAAGAAAGAACAAATTTTAAAGGGACCGGAGAAATGCCTCAGTGGTTAAGAGCTCATACCACTCTTGCAGAGGACTTGAGTTTCATTTCCAGCACCTTTGTCTGATAGTTCACAACCATCCATAACTTCGGCTTCTAGGGGGACCTGTCACCTCTAGCCTCCATGGGCACCTGCACTCATATGCACATACCCACATATGCACATGCCCTTCATATGCGCGTGAATGTGTATATTTCTATAAAGACTACACATGATTAAAAAGGGAGGCATGGTTGTTCGTGTCTTGAACCTTAGGGGCAAATGTGGGGATAACAGAAGTTCATGAGCTGTTCTGTTAGATACTACATTTGAGGTCAACCTGGGCTATCTGAGACCAGAAAACCAAAAAGAAAAAAAAAAGCAGATTGTCTTACTCTTTTGCCAAACAAATGTTGAGCAGAGCAACCTGACGGGGAAACAAGAGTGACAGGGGTCTGGACTTGCTGAGAGAATTAGTGACTTAAGTACTTCTGACATTCCCCACTAAATTATCCTAGTGTTTTCTTCCTAGAAAGTGTTCACATATCAGTGAGTGCACACCATGTGTGTTCTTTTGCCACTGGGTTACCTCACTCAGGATGATATTTTCTAGTTCCATCCATTTGCCTAAGAATTTCATGAATTCATTGTTTTTAATAGCTGAGTAATATTCCACTGTGTAAATGTACCACATTTTCTGTATCCATTCCTCAGTTGAAGGACATCTGGGTTCTTTCCAGCTTCTGGCTATTATAAATAAGGCTGCTATGAACATAGTGGAGCATGTGTCCTTGTTATATGTTGGAGTATCTTTTGGGTATATGCCCAGGAGTGGTATAGCTGGGTCCTCAGGTAATATACTATGTCCAATTTTCTGAGACTGATTTCCAGAGTGGTTGCACCAGCTTGCAATCCTACCAACAATGAAGGAGTGTTCCTCTTTCTCCACATCCTCACCAACATTTGCTGTCACCTGAGTTTTTGATCTTAGCCATTCTGACTGGTGTGAGGTGGAATCTCAGGGTTGTTTTGATCTGCATTTCCCTGATGACTAAGGATGTTGAACATTTCTTTAGGTGCTTTTCGATCATTCGAGTTTCCTCAGTTGAGAATTCTTGTTTAGCTCTGTACCTCATTTTTAAAATAGGGTTATTTGATTGTCTGGGCTCTAATTTCTTGAGTTCTTTGTATATATTGGATATTAGCCTTCTATCAGATGTAGGATTGGTAAAGATCTTTTCCCAATCTGTTGGTGCCATTTTGTCCTATTGACAGTGTCCTATGCCATACAGAAGCTTTGCAATTTTATGAGGTTCCATTTGTCAATTCTTGATCTTAGGGCATTAGCCATTGGTGTTCTGTTCAGGAACTTTTTCCCTGTGCCCATGTGTTTGAGACTCTTCCCCACTTTCTCTTCTGTTAGTTTCAGTGTATCTGGTTTTATGTGGAGGTCCTTGACCCACTTGAACTTAAGCTTTGTACAAGAAGATAAGAATGGATTGATTTGCATTCTTCTACATGCTGACCTCCAGTTGAACCAGCACCATTTGTTGAAAATGCTGACTTTTCTCCACTGAATGGTTTTAGTTCCTTTGTCAAAGATCAAGTGACCATAGGTGTGTGGGTTCATTCCTGGGTCTTCAGTTCTATTCCATGCAGTTTTTTATCACTACTGCTCTCTAGTCAGCTTGAGGTCAGGGATGGTGATTTAAGTGGGTATTAGTCCCAAAGCTCAGAATACTCAAGATACAACTCACAGACCACATGAAGCTCAAGAAGAAGGAAGACCCAAGTATGAGTGCTTCTTCGGTCCTTCTTAGGAGTAACAAAATACTCAAGGGAACAAATACAGAGACAAAGTGTGGAGCAGAGACTGGAGGAGGGGCTGTCTGGAGACTGCCCTACCTGGGGATCCATCCCATGTGCAGTCAACAAACGCAGACACTGTTGTGGATGCCAAGAAGTTCATGCTGACAGGAGCCTGATATCCCTGTCTCCTGAGAAGCTCTGCCAGAATCTGACATATACAGAGGCAGATGCTTGAAGCTAACCATTGAACTGACCATGGGGTCCCCAGTGGAGGAGGTAGAGAGAAGACTGAAGGAGCCGTAGGGGTTTGTGGCCCCATGGGAAGAGCGACAATAACAACCAACCAGAGCTCCGAGGATCAAAACTGCCAGTCTGGGAATACATGGAGGGACCCATGGCTCCAGCTGTATATGCAGTGGAGGATGGCCTTGTCAGGCATTGGTGGGAGTGGTGGTCCTTGCTCCCATGAAGGCAGGATGCCCCAGTGTGGGGGAATTCAAAGGTGGGGAGGGGGGAGTAGGTGGATGGGTGGGGGCACAATCTCATAGAAGAAGTGGGAGGGGGATGGGATAGGGAGTTCCTCGGGGGAGGGGAGGGGGGAAATGGAGAAAGGAGATAACATCTGAAATGTAAATAATGAGAATATCCAATTTAAAAAAAAAGAATTTCAACTTATTAACAATCTTTGTAAAAATAAAAAAGTAAAATAAAAGTATTCACATCCACATTCTGACACACAGATACATGGAACCTTTATTTTTATTAATTAAAATCAAAACATTTTTGAGAAAAGTTTTCTTTATAGCTCTGACAGCCCTTCCTTGTCATTTTACCATCTCGGAGAGTATTAGTTTGAGTAAACATATAGGTATAATTATACTTGCAGACTCTGTCGTTTCTGTCTTTTGCTTGACTGTCAAGAATGTGATCTCATTAGTGCATGTGGTTCTCTATTTTACACTGCTGTATTCTACTCTTTTTGTTTGTTTGGGTTTTTTTTTTTTTTTTTTTTTTTTTGTTGTTATTGAGACAATTTCACTATGTAGCCCTGATTGGCCTGGAGCTTGCTCTATAGACAAGGAGGGTTGGAACTCGTGGAAATCTGCCCACTTTGCCCCTCTCATGTACTGGAATTAACTGTATGTACACTCAGATTGGCCCTTGTTTTTATTGTTTGAGACAGAATCTGTGTTGCCCAAGCTAGTATCAGGTTTCTAGCTTGAAGTGATCCCTGGGTCTATGGGGACTGCTTCAGCCTCTCATGTCACTGAAAGGTCTTTCCTGTCTAGATGTTGTAGTCTGGCTGGCCTGGAACTCATAAAGATCCACGTAGCTCTCTACCTCCACATCCTGAGTGCTGGGATTAAAGGTATGTGTCACATTTATATGGACACTTACTGGTACACAGGCAAAGGAGTATCTACAGGGAATATACTAGCTTAGGCTTTGTCTTAATCACTGCTCTATTGCTGTTAAGAGACACAATGATGTGTTTCTCTGAAGAGACAGCTTATAAAAGCAAGAACTTAATTGAGGGCTTGATTACAGTTCTAGATGGTTAGTCCATTATCATCGTGTCAGGGAACATTGTGGCATACAGGCAGGCACTGGAACAGTCTCTGAGAGCTATATCCTGACCCATAGGCAGATCTCTAGACTTTGCATGGGCTTTTATAATCTTAAAGCACACCCCAACTTCCTCCAAGAAGGCTCTCCTACTCCAATAAAGCCATACCTCTTAATTGATCTAAT